AATATTCTGATCACTGAGAAAGTAGTAATCACTCTGTGTAAAGTTTTTAATATCACAGAGATTCAGCTATCAGAGTAATGATACAACTATATTATTTCAGAAATCTCAGAATTTGTTCAGAATTGAAAAGATATAAAAATTTTCACAGATAAAATAATTAAAAGAGAGATATTGATTCAGATAAAGATGAAATCAGTGAGCTATCAACTCTTATAATATGAAATGAATTTTAAAACAGAGAAAATTATATAAATTATTTTCTTTCTCATTCTAATGAAGAGTTTCTCATTCTTCAATATCAGTAAAAGAATCAGATTAATTGAAAAGAGACTCTTAATAGTGAGATATAATTCAGAATATCAGAGATACTGTTATTTATCAAAATATATATAACTGATCAGATGTTTCAACTGCAGTGAGCTCACAGATTAATATAAAAAGTCAATAAATACAGAGTGTAAAAAAATACTGTAATATACTAACTGCTGTCAACTCTACTCAGCTGAATATTAATATTACTCTACTGTATTCAGATAAATAAACAGTATTCTCAGATATCTAATATAAAAAAAGTTAGCAGCTGTTCATTATTTTGATAATAGATATTATAGAGATATTCAAGAGCAGCAACAACTGTCAGTGCAATTAGCACTGATAATGACAGTAATAATATCTACATTATCTACTCAACTGATTTGAATTATAAAGCTGATACTCTGTAAGTAGACAGCTACTCAGAGCTCTATTAGTAAGAATAATATTATCTAATAAATAGTTTATATTGTGGGATGGTTGATCTTGTTATTGTTGTGGTCGCTAGCTAACTATATAAAGGTAATCACATGCGGTGGAGGGCCATCTGGGCAACTAGTGCCCAACACCCCCCCACACACCAACATGCATGATGTGTTCCTACAAATATTCCATGCTAACTATCTTAATCTAGATCATTCCAAAAACATGCTATATACAGAAATTTAATCATTCTTGCTGTTGCCAGTGAAAAGTTCTAGTAATTTAATGAAACATCTAAATGCCACTGTGTTCAGAGGTTTGATTAATCTGTCTGCTATCATATCCTCAGTGAGAACATAGTTAATTGAAATAATACCTTTGTTCAGTTGTGTGTGAGAATAGTGGAAGCAAGTGTTGATATACTTGCTGCATACCATGATCACAGCAACAGTAGCTAGATCAATTGAATCTTTATTATCTGCTCTGATGAGCAAGAGATCCTTTGCTGTAACAAATTCTAGTTCCATTATTATATTATACAATCATATTGCTTCATGTACTGCTTTGCTGAGTGCCACATATTCTGTCTCATTTGAACTTAAAGAAACACAAGATTGTTTGAATGAATGCCATGAAATTGATGCATCTGCTAACTTGAATATGAAGTCTGAGATAGATTTGTATTCACTGTTCAACAGTTCTGCTCAATCTGAATCTGTATAATCTATCAGCAGATATAATATGTTGAGGAATTCATCAATCTCATTCTTGAGGCCTTTATATAAGATGCCTAGATTGCTTGTTTCTTTTAGATATTGTATGATGTGGAGGAGAGTTCTTTATATCTTAGATGTAGACACAGTATTCTTCTGTGCTAGTAGAGATGCTGCTTATACAATATCTGAGTGTAATTTGACTATTAGATACTGCAAGCACTCTACTCTGTGTTGATATTGTTCTTTAGTGAACCCTTCTTCTTATTCTGATACAGAGGCATTGTCTATCTTCATCCCCTCAAGTATTGATGTAGAGACAGAGATGATGTCATCTAGATGGAAATCTTGCACTAAATGATTGATATAGTGTCTCAATGTCAATTTTATGGTGTCATCAGAGCAACATTCAACCTCCATACCCAAGTATTTTGAAAGTTCTTTCAAATCTTTTATTTCTAATTTATTGGCAAGGATATCAACTAGTTAATCAGCATCTGCTGAATCTTCTGCTATAATATGAAGATTATCCATGTAGATTGTCATATAAAGATGATTGCAGAATATGTGATGCTATAGAGCAGAGTTATAGAGACTAGATTTGAAGTCATTCTCACAGAGTAATGCTGTAAGAAAATTGTATCAAATCTTAGCAGCAGAGTTCAATCTATATAGAGAGTCTATAACAGTACAAATCATCATGTGTGAAGTCTCCATCTCAAATCTGATAGATTGCTGTATATAAATTGTTTTATCAAGTCAGCTGTGCAGATAGATCATAACTATATTGATCTGATGCAAGTTTCAATCTTACTTTGCTGCTACTGCAAACATCATGTGATTAGTAGTGTCATTGATAATGAATGCATATGTTTCTTCATATATGCTCTTCTTTAATCAATTGCTGCATACTACTCATTGAGATTTTTATAATATACCATCAGAATCTGTGTTAAGGTTCTGAGAGTGATCTTTTTTGACATAAACCCAGCAGTCAGAGGCCACTGACTCATCAGAAGAGATGTCAGAATATGAAATCATTGTTCAAATGTTTCTTCATTTCAAATCTGCAATTTTATATTCCATCAACTTTTGCCAATATTCATCAACCCCTTCATATCTACTAACAGTATTCTTATATTCTTTCAGAACAGAATCAGTGAGGGGAGAAAAGATATAGATAGTGAATGCTTTCACTGATCTTACTCATTCAGTGTTGACTAATTTGAGAACAGCAGCATTGTCAATGAGATAAGTTGCTGAACTTGCAGCTTTGAGTGTTGTATGATTAGTATCAATCTGTGGGGTTGTAGATTCCTTTGCAGAGAAAACAACATCACTGATGACAATTATTTTATCAGTTGTAGAACTTCAGAGACAGTAGATTGAGTTGCTATAAAATTCTATAAGTTTAAATATTTCTGCTCTGATGAATAGCTTATCAGTAGATCTTTGAGATTCATGAAGATGTGTGTAAACATCAACATCTAGCTCTCTAAAATGGCAAAGTTGAGATGAGATGTTGATTAGTGCTGAGAATGAGATGGTATAGAGGCATCATACAGATGCTTCATTGACATTGTTGATAGACCAGTATTTCTCATTATACAGAGTGATAGATGTCAGCATGTTGTTGGTAATTGCAACTACTGTTTTAAGAACATCTGCTCAGAACTTCTTCATATCCATGTCTATAAGCACTGCCCTAGCACACATCATTATTGTGTGGATTCCTCTCTCAGAAACACCATCTTGATGAGAGGATTGAGATGTAGTAGATTCCCAGATAGTGCCATTTTTGATCATCATTGTTGTCATTTTGTTTGATCAAAAGACATTATTGATATCAGTTCTAACTAGTGCTGGTGGTGTGAAGTCAAGATTTTTCATGAATTGAACCCAGTGAGTGTAAAATTTGATAGCTTGGTCCTTAGTGTGTAAAAAATAGATTCATCTATAATGAATGGTGTCATCAGTGATAAGCATATAATATTTAATCCCTTGATGAGATTCTATAGAGTAATCAGATATATCATTCAGTGTACAACCACCACCAGCAAGATCAATATGAATATGTTGCATTGCTCACAACACTCATGGCATGAAAGTTTGCAAGAACTTATATGTCATGTCTGCTTTGATGCAGCTATCACAGAAGAAGCCTGTTTTAGATCCTTTGATATAGATGCTGAATGATGAGTCCTTCACTAGTGTGATGATTGTGTCAGTGTGGATATGCTCTAGAGTGACATGCCATTCCATGAGTGTTCTTATCAGAAGATTGTGATTGCTAGATTGATTGCTAGATTTCCTCACAGTTGTCAACATTGTGTCTCTGTAATTGTAAGATTTGGCCATAAAATGAACAGTCTGAGATGAATGATGAATATCTATTTGAGATTCTTATTCTATTATCTTGTAGATCAATTCTTTGAATATACAAACAGTGATAAAGTTGACACTGTTCAGAGCTTTTATTGTAAAATAAGAAGAGATGGTATCAGATAGTTGATATCTGAAACCTTGATCTTCTAGCTTTGTGAAAAATAGAAGATTGACAGTGAGATTGAGGATTCAGTGAATATAACCCACTGAGATATCCCTCTCTTCTGATTCTAGAAGAATATCATCTATTTCCTCAACCTGTTCTACATCACTGTCCACAGTGGTTATCTCTAAATCCCTCTCAAACAACTTTGTATGCATCAATGAGTATCTTTCATCTGTTATATTAAAGCTTGCACAGGTGTTGAGATATCAAGATTTGAATATTATAGTGAATGATGTAGATAAAGCAAATGCTGTGTTGATACTAGATTGCAAGACAAGAAGATCTGATACTCTGATGTCAGTAGGTTTGTTGTCATTCTTATTCTTCTTCTTATTCTTTCTCTTCTTTTTAATATCCTCAGTGTTGTCAGTGCTCTTATTATTCTTATTCTTCTTTCTCCACCACTCAGATGCTTTGTCAGAGTTCAGATGATAGCAATTAGCCTTTATATACTCTGAAATCTTGCAGTATCCACACTGTGAGATTATGATGATGATTGTGATGTTATCATCATTATCATTGATGGCTACATTGACCTTTGAAGCTTTGAGATGTTCAGAACTCTCTGACTTACTCATCTGATGAGCAATTTATTTTGTGAGATCATCAATATCTAGATTGACAATCAGACTCTGATCTGTTCTGTAGAATATATCAAGATGTGATTTGATATAGATCCTCTGATAATCTTGAAGATCAATAATAAAGAAATCATAAAGATAGTTCTCATTACAGTCCTCTGTTAGTTATCACATGCAAGCAGACAGATAGTGATATTGATGTATATACATCAGATAATCACTGTTCTTGACATACAAGTGGGTAAGTTCTTTGAGAATATTAATCCTTTCCTTCTCTAGAGATATTGCATATACTGTACTTATCTTGTGTCATAGAGCTGCTGCATTGTCAGATTGAATGGATTCCATGATCAAACAGACAGAATCTACCAGAGATTGTAATATACAACAGAAGAGTAGCTTTGAATGTATCACTCAATATCATTGCTCAAGTGTTGATAAATCTTCAGATGGTTTCTGTTGATTCTTATTGAGAATATCTGCATCACTGATCACCTCTGCATTCAAGAAGAATGCCATCTTTCATATCTGATAGTTGATGTCATTGAATATGGTGACAGACTTTGTGTTCAATAAGATCTGCACTTTCTTCTGATATTTGTGAGCCAGTATATTCAGATCTTCTTCTGATATAGAGTTTGAGAAAGATGAAGATAGAGAAGAAGGTGGTGGAGGAGATGATGGCATATATACTGATATCAGTTACTTGCAGAGTGCAATAAGATCTGCTGCTGCCATGGTCACCATGCTGTTAGAATTTGGTGTAGATATTGACATAGAACTGAGTGTGCCATTCTTGAATTCCTTGCATTCTAGCATCTTGCCAGTATCTTGTGCTGAGCCAGAGGTTGTCATATCTTCCTCTGTCATTATATATTCAGTTTGATCACCTTCTGCTTCTGAGGTGGATTCTTATTCAGTAACAGAGGGGATGAACTGAGGAACCCTTGATTGTGAATGTAGTGTCTTCTTACATTCTGATATAGAGGTTGCAGATAATTGAGAACCACTCATAATCAATCTTAGAGGGTTCTGAATGAAAATAAATAAATAAGTTTTTGATCCCTTCAAGATAGTAATGAAATCTCTGCAGCAGTCTTGACAGTAATTTCATTAATTACATCACTTTTATAGGCAAAGAGCTCTCTTTTCAGGGGAATAATGTCTAACTCATTCAATATAACATCAGTCACAGCATATTCTAATTAAAACATCTGTTTTTATTAAAAATCTGCTATTCGGGCCATAATCTGTGGGATGGTTGATCTTGTTATTGTTGTGGTCGCTAGCTAACTATATAGGGGTAATCACGTGTGGTGGAGGGCCACCTGAGCAACTAGTGCCCAACATATATCAGATAATATTTAGCTTATACAGTAGTGTAATAGAGTAGTCAAATAATTAAAAAATAGCTTAATCTCAGTATACAGACTGCAGATCTGAAATTTTTCAATTTTATTTTATAGATAAACTTTGACAGCAGTTTATTAAATAATTTTTTATACTAGAATATTAATATCAGCAATACAGTTGATGCTGTAGAAATAATCAGTAGAAAAATCACTCTCTGCAGATCTTCTGAGTAAATACTGTCAAAGTAAATCTCTATTATACAGCAGCTCTATAATTTACTTTCAAGCAGAACTGTAAGATAATCTATATATAGAAGTTATATATATATTCTGATATCAAAACTTCTAATCATTTAGTATATAAATACTTTATATCTATAAATTATTGAGATGATACTAACTTAGAGCAGTAAGAGAAGAAGAGACTCTGAGTTATAATATATATATATAAAAACTTAAAGATAAGAGTACAGCAATATCAGTCTGTGTAAAGCAGAGATCTACTATAAATCAGTATCAACAGCTATCACATTCTCAATATATACAGACAGTCTGAGACAGATACAGTTATAAATTATCTAACTAATTTAAACTCATCAGTCTACTGTCTGATAGATAAGAATATCAATATTTGATACAATACTTTTGAATCAGAAACAGTGAATCTGCACTGAAAAGAGAAGCTTATTCAATAAATCAGTGAATATAAAATGAATTATATAAAAAAGATAGATATTTCAATCTATACAGTAGATTATATAATTGATTTTATCTTTTTCAATATGATTTTTACTTTCATCACAGTGTATCAAGATTTACACTGTGACTCAGATTATCAGTCAATGATTACTATACTATCAATAATATTTCAAATACAGTGAAACAGTATTTGAATCAAGATCACAGACTCTCAGCTGAAGCTCTTTACAGATTTTATTAGAAATCTTATAATAGATATATTTTATTCAGAGAGAATTGAGAATATAATACAGCTGAATAATCTAATTCAGTATTTTATTCAGAGTTTTCTAGCTGCAGCTCAAACAGTCAGTAAATTAGTTTAATAAAAACAGATTATAGCTTTTTGATAAACAGTAGAATGCTGAAGAGTATATCAGAAGCTTACTGTTTATTAGATAAAGACTATAAGATATCAATTCAAGAATATAGTATATACTACTGAGTCTCTAATCTAGCAAGCTTCTCACTGATTATAAGATAAGATTGAGTCTTATAGAGTATTGCTGAGCTTGTTCACTAAGTCAGAAAATAGTGCCACTATCACAGATTAAAATATAATATCAAGAAAAATATCTAGAATAACTAGCAATAGCTACAGCAGCAGTCTAAAATAGACAATAAAAATATCTAATAGAGTTTACAAGATAGAGTGAGTATTTAAAGTAGACATTGTGAAGAAGTATATATTTAAGATGAGCTTATAGTTGTACTATATAACTTGAGTATAAGTAAGAGATATGAAATAAAAGATAGAAGAGATAAGATAAAGAAATAAAATTGATTATGATTAAGAAGATAAACTTCTTGATTCTAAGAGTAATAAGTATATTTAAATACATTTGAGTTCTCATACAAATTATCTTACTCACTCTGCTCACTTACTTATTTTATTTACTAATAATTATAGTAAGCACAGTGATCAGAGTGAGCAGTTATATAATTTTATAGTAGTCTCAGTTGAGAATTATTCTGTTTCTGTATCTCTTCAGTTCTTATTCAATAAGCTCTGATTTATACTGCAGATTTATAATATTATTTTCTTTCTCTCTTTATAAACTGTTTCAGCAAATGTATAAATAAGTGACTGAGTCTTTTTTCATATTTTCTATAAATAAGATTCTTTTATTCAGATTACAGCATGATATCTTTCTTTCTTTATCAAGCTCATTTTACTAATATCATTGTTGCTCAGAGTTTCATTATACTCATCTATTATAATTACTATTTTGAACTTAACATTATATATTATATTCTTTCTTTACATAAGAAATGTTTGAAGTGTGTCTGTTGTGATTGTTATTGTGAATGAGAGTTGATCTCTAAAAAAGAGTGATTGAAACTGAATTGTGCTAAGAAAAAGATAAAATTGAATATTTAAATAAGTGAGAATTCAGTGAGTAAGCTGAGTATTTGTCTGAATGAACTGAGTAGTTCTCTGTTGAAGATTATTATAAAATTGAAACAGTTAAAATAAAGTGTGGATTTTCTTGAAGATTATCAATTCAAATTTCTTCATAGAGATCTGAAAGTTCTTGAGTTCTTAGATGAAGAGAAATCTTTCATTTCTTTTATTAAAATTGATTTTTCTATTCTTGACATTACTGATTATCTTATTTCTTTTAATGATATTATTTTCTTAAATTTTCTTGATTCTTCTGTAATTTCTGCTGTTGAAAATATTGAATTGTATTTTTTATATTCTTCAAATTCTTTATAAATTTTCAGATATTTTCTGAGATATTGTATTCTTTTTATTTTATCAAATAATATTTCTTATTGCTAATCTTTTATTTTCTCAGTATTTTCTCAACTTTATATTCTGATTCTCTGATATTTATTTCTGTTTGATATTGTTCTACATTTTCAGATACTTTTTTTAATAATAAGATATAGAAATTTGAATATATCTGTATTGTATTCAGTAGTTGAAGTCTGTAATTAACTGATTCAATTTTCTGCAAAATTTTGAAGAATTCTAGTTTCTTAAAGTTTAATTTATTATTTGATTTTTTAATCTTAATATTTTATTGCAGTAGAAATATTTTCTCTCTTTCTTTAAACTGAGATATCTTCTGATATCTTTTATTGTAGTATTCTTTGATTCATTTCATCACAAAATTAATATCTAATATCAATTGTTTATATAGCTTGTAAAATAGACTTGTTTTTTCTATTATTTTATTCATCAAATCTTTTATAAGTAGTTTTATTCTTTGTATATCTGATTCTCTTTTGTAGTTGATGAAAAATAGTATGAATTCTGTTGTTGTATTTTTTGAACTGTTGTATACTATCTATATCATCAGCAGTAATTCAATTTAATTATTTTATTGATAATTAATATAGCATCTGAGATACTGTTCAACTGTCTAATTCAATTTTTCTATCTATTTATTTATCTATAGATGATAAGCTGTTGATATTTTATTTTTAATTCTTATTTTAATCATCAGTATCTGTTAAAACTTGAATATAAACTTAATATTTTGATCTGTAATTATTTTCTCTGATGTTTTATAATTGATGAATATATTTTATAAAATTATATATACTGTTTCTGATACTGATATTACTTTCTTGAACAGTATAAAGTAGATGTACTTCATTAATCTGTCTGTTACTGTTAAGATAGAGTTATAATATATCTCTATTCTAGATTCTCTTGACTTTGACAATTTAATAATAAAGTTCATTACTATTAATATTCAAAGTTTTTATAAAACTGATATTGACTGCATCTTTCTATATAATATATATCTATCTAACTTACTTCATTAATATATATCACAATTCTGTATATATTTTCAAATATTTTTCCATATTTCTGATCAGTAGTACATTCTGATGATTTTTTTCATTATTTTATCAGTTCTAAAATATTCTGCAGTTATTATATTATAATTTTCTTGTATTATATTATTCTGTGCTGCTTTTGAAATATAAATCAATTCATTGTAATAGACTATTCTATTGTGTTTGATTATATTATTAATCTATTTATCGTCGACTGTAGCTTTTCTGATCTTCTAGATATTCTCATCAGTCACTGATAGAATCTTTATAACTCATATTTACTTATTGGATTGAATACTATTCGCTCTTTTAGATCTTTGATAATTATTGCTTGGTTTCTGACTTTTTTTTTATTAATAAGTCCAATCCTCAGCTTAGAATATCGGCTAGAATATCCTCTTTTTTCTTTTAGTA